AGCTTGTCTTCCCAACACGCACAATCAGTGGGTCTAAGTAAACGTCAAACAGTGATGTGGCAAGCTTTCACAGTACTTAATCAAAAAAAAAAAAAAAACACTTCAAATCGCTTCACCAAGCTCAAAGGAAAAAACAAACAGATCAATCAAAGGCAAATTGAATATCCAATACAGTCTGTCAGCCTGGCCACAGTGTGAACAAACTCAGATACTAACAATAAAAAAAAAAACGGATCTTACTTTAAAGATGTCCGATGGAGTTTTTGGTACGGAGGAGAGAAAACCGTTTGTTAATTTGAAGCAGTCGCGCGGTCGACCGCTTCTTTTGGCTATGAGAGAATCGAGGGGAAAAGAGAGGAAAAAACTTTGAATGAACGAACACACGAGGCGTCCCTCTGGAGTTCGCTGAGCAAATCAGATGGCGTTGTTCCGTCCACTTCAGCAGCTAGGCCTCGTGCACATGCTGTCCGGAGCGGTACGAAGCAGAGGCGACGATCTCCTTACTCCAGATGAACTGGACTTGAAGAGAGCGATTTCCACTCTGCGCTTCATCTTATAGACTCTCCAGCGGGCGGTCTGTAGCGGCTGGGGTTGGCGTCGCTTGATGACGCCATTAAGCTGCTGCCAGCTGCAGAGGATCATGGGAGATGAAGTCCCTGCTGGCGCTGATTTTAATATGCCTTATTTCTTTACGGTTCAAGGCGTAGATGGCACAGTCTTTTGGAGAAAATACTGCGCAGTAATTTCTCATGAGGGCAGGACCCCAACACAGTTCACCACTTAACTTTGTACCATTTCAAGCTATCCATTGGACTTGAATGACTGAAACTGCAACAAATAACTGGAAAAATTTGGGCGTTCTAAAACTTTTGACCGGTAGTGTATAAGAAATGTTATATATAGGAAACTTATATATATATATATATATATATATATATATATATATATATATATATATATATGTAATGCTATATGTAAGCATTTGGAGTGCTATATGTATTTTGACACAAAACCTAAAGTAACTTTTGCTGCTTGTCGAAAATACCGTAAATCCTCTAATACCGTAAATCCTCTAATACAGGCCGGTATTCAATTAAAGGCCGGGTCTCCAATTTTGGCCGGTGTCGGAGTTATCGGAGGTAAATAATGGCCGGTCTCGTATTGTGGCCGGATGGAAGTGGTAACAAGTAAGTAGAGTGTCCCAGCGGCAGGGTTATAGTCCCCAACTCAACCAGCAGGAGGCAGTAGGGGTTCACGCAGACCTGTATTAGGCTTTTTCTTCAACGCTTTGTAACGCTACAGACACGATCCTCTATCATGCTCCTACCACACAGAGTCACGGTGTCAGTTAACCATGCTAATTCAACCCGCTCCACAGAACACACATCACCTTCCCTGTGGCTTACATAACACTCACACAACAAGCAAATCAGCACATAGGAACTAGCAGAACGATAGGAAACACATATAACACAATACCCAGAATGCACCTGGCTTACAACCCCAGCCAGGTCATTACACTATCAAGTTCAAAGAGAACGTGCTGATTATGCTGCATAACACTCTGGAGAGCAGCAGTAGGGGGTGTATGAACTACAGTAATCCCTCGTTTATCGCGGTAGATGCGTTCCAGACCTGGCCGCGATAGGTGAAAATCCGCGAAGTAGGGACTCCCAGCATGCCCCTCGCGGGGATTCCCTCCACGTCGCATTTACGTCACAAACCGCGGCTATAAACGGAAGTTGCCTTTACAGCTCAGTCATCGTTTCTTCAGATTCATGATCAGAGTTTCCAACCTACCAATCAATCCAACGAACTATCAGCTCATAGTAAGTTATCTTACTTACTTCTGGAAAGCCCGGCATTTCCGTGTCACTTCGTTGACGCTCGAATGCTCGGGGGTTTCCTAGAGCAGCCGGCGTTTCACCGACGCTCTCACTTCCGCGTCTGTGAAACCACGCTCCCTATTGAATTATCGTATGATCACATTCTCTGTGATCAGCAACGCGCTGTGCCGGACCGTAGGTACTGACACGCGATCGTTCATGTCGGTTTATTTCCTTTAATGTTTTCTGTCTTTTATTTGCGCCTGATGCGTTTCGCTGCATGCTGTGGAGCGGGGCGCTGCGCGCATCACCTTGTCCTCCGACGCACTGATCACTGATACGGCCGCCAAACAGCAAGCGCTCCGCTGTTTTTGCGGTCGGCAGATCTTTTAGAACTGCAGTTCAAAGGAAACTCATAAGGTGAATATATATGAACCCAGGTAGCAGTTTCTCTTTAGGATTGAGAGGAGATGCAGGAAGATAATAAACAGGCAGGACAGAAAAATAGTCAAATAAAAACAAGTTAGTTTTTGTACCTGCTGTTGCAACAAACAGACACCATTGAAGGTCATCAGAAGTGAGGAACAGAAAATGAAATAATTATTTTAATGTTTAGAGCAGCAGGAACTCTGAGAGGCTGCAGGCGCATCAGTGAGTTTGCGGCGCTGCGCAGGGGGAGGGGGGAGAGGGCTGAAGAAGAAACTACCGTTGTTAAAAGAAATGTGTTTAACTTTGAAAATGTGGGCGTAATTTTAATTGTCAAAAACTCCAGCGAACCATTAGTTCATTTTGCTCAAATAGAAATAGAAACCTGCCTCTAATACTGGCCCTCCTTCCAATAAAGGCCTGGAGCTTGATGAGCTTGAGTCAAATACAGGCCCGGGCCTGTATTAGAGGATTTACGGTAATCACTTTCTTGGCATCAAAATTTCCAGCCATCATATGTTAAATAAATGGCACATACTGCATCAAACAAGATCAGAAAATCACTTTTAGAGCTTCATGGACTCCCGTTAATTTTTATTGACAGTAGGGGACCAATGGACTGGGAATAGATGGGCGTGCAAATGCGATATGTGCGAAGGTGTGAAAAAAAAAAACTTGCCTTAACCACTGCAACATTTTATGTTATTTTTATATGTATACTTTTCATATTACAACTAACTGCTTTATTCTTGGCTAGCTGTTAGCTAATCAGTCCTGTAGATCAAAAAACTATTTTTTTTCCAAATAGAGGCTATACAAGAAGCTTTATATAAATGTACAAAACAGTAATTTTTAAGACTTTAAAAAAACACTTAATTGGCAAAGAAAAAAATCCCATTAAGATATCAGTTCTCATTCTAAGAATGTTCTTGCTTTGCTAAAAAAAATAAAAATAAAAAAACTGAAGAAACGAATCACACAAAATGGATGAAGCAGTTTAATGAAGTAATAAAACAACTCCTACACGTTTTTAAAGATAAAGCTTCAACTCCGGTTGGTGATCAATGCTCACAGAGATAAGGGTATGTGGAATGGAATGGCAACCTGTCAGGACAGTAATGCGTGTTGCGCCAGTGAAGCTTAAGCTGTTTCACTCAATAAGAGGTAAGTTCTTGACTTATTGGTCACCCCAGCTCTTGCAGGGAAAACTTACACACGGAACCACAGCTGCATAAATGTTGTGTATTTCTAATTAACCTTTCAATTTCCTCCTTTTTTTTTGTTTCTACACACAAAGAGGGAGAACGCACAAAGTTCTGGTAAACACCATTACATTACGATATGAAGTGGAGCGATAAAACGATGAGCCTTTCTTGATGACCTGCTGCTTGTTTCCTTGTACTGATCCAGGAGAACAAATTGAAGGTGACAGCTCAATTCTCCGAGGGAAGCATTTGTTATGCAAATAGGTTACAGACAGGATGTGGAAATCTGACAGTGTTACTTAAATATTCCAAAAAAGACTTGATTGGAGAGGTTTAAAAGGACAAACTCATTGTTGCAACATGAAAATAGAAGTTTGATGACACGGTCCAGAATACATGCATAAAAAATAAACTGTGGTTGATTTGTTGTTTACACTCATTTACATTACAATAAGATACATATGAAGGTTAAAAACATGTTTGTGTCCTCAGAAAGCCACGCCTTCCTTCAGATACAAAATGTTTTTAACCTTAATATGTCTCTTATTGTAATGTGTATGAGTGTAAACAATGATTAACTTGCTAAATCAAACACAGAGAGATTTGTGATATAAATGGATCATTGTAAGAACAATATTCATTTCAAATTCATTGATTTAAGCACAGGTTATTCAAACATTTGATTTAAACATCTTGTTCATTCACCACATATGATTATTTAACTTATAAGTTGTAAAGCCTTGTAGGATTCGTCTGGATTCACTTTTATTCAGAGTGAGGAATCTAGCAGTCTGACTTTTAGCAGAGAGTTAAGGCTTTTGCGGGAGACCTTGACAGTTTATTTATGTCTGCGTTGAAGAACAATAAGTGAGCAAAAGGTTCGGTTGATCTGTGCATCTGGATCCTCCAGCATGCAGAACCTTGACTTTGGAGCTCTGGCGTGCATGAAAGGTTACTGTGTCAATGCTATGGTGAAAATTGACCATTTTGATTCATAACAGTGTTTGTTTTATTCATAAAAGACTGTCCTGTTTTAAAGTAGAAAAGCACTTTTAGTTCACAGCCTTCCTGTTTTGTTTGTAGGTAGAGCCACTGTTTATCCATTTAATTTCTGTTTTCTTTTCCTGCGTTGCTCCCTCCTCACGGTTCTAGACAGAAGAGGGCATAACAACCAGTAGGAGAGAGAAGCAGAAAAAATTGCTTCAAAAATCTTTTTTGTTTTACTTCATCATTAAAAAAAATCAATGTACATCAACAATTTTTAGTGGCAGGCCAAAAAAATATACAATTGTTGAAATGTAGCCGAGGGAATGCGTAGACTCCCTGTGAGGGCTGCAAATGGCCCCATGTTCTTCACACACCCCTGGACTAAAGTGATGACAATTTTTAGTGTGCATTTTAGGTTTAGTATACTGGTTAACTGAATCATGCTGTTCTTGGATCTAAGAATTATAAAACCTGATATTAATGATGTTTTGGATTAAAAAAGAAAATTGGAGTGAATGTTGGATAGGAAATTTGGTGTGTTGTGTCTTTGTGTTACCTGCAGAGGTGTGGTGGCCAGCAGCTCACACAGCTGCAGCAGTAAAGTCCCTGGACTGCTTTCATTCACTGCCAGGTAGATGACATTGGCTTTACCTGATGACGTAGTCACCGGTTCCCCCACAAGCGCTGCCAATGGTGAGGAGGACAAAGAGGCCATGGCAGCCACTCCTGCCAGTGAGGCTGTATCTGTCACTCCCCTCCCTCCTCCTCCGGGACCGTTTCCCAGACTGGGCCCGAGACCCGGCTCACCAACCCTCGTGCCTCCCACCACCACCGTCTCCGGGAGCAGGGAGGAGCTAGAGTGGACTACGGCTATGTTGACGCCACCCGAGTCCCTCTCTCTCTCCCGGGTCCGGTGTTGAGGGGGGGGCGAGGGGTGTGCGGGCCCCGTGCAGGCCAGGACAGCCAATAGCAGTGAGAGGGTGGGCCTTGGGGCCACCATGAGGCAGAGAAAAGGCCAGTGGTGGTTGTCTGATAGGTTCTGCAAGGTGAGGCTTTAGGGATTCTGTTATAAAGGGTGATGCCTCTTGAGGTGGTGGAGGGGGGGTTGGGGGGCTGGCAGATTACAGTGCTTCACCTGATGTGAAGAGGAGACCCTAGAGGGGAAACAGAAGCAAGCGGAAGATTAAGAAACTGTCACAGTTCACTGCCATACATCTTATTTAACCCTAAAAGTATTTCTAATAGTGATGTGTAGAAATGTTTTTCCAGGGCTCGCTGTGGTGAGAAAATTGACTAATGTGGGTGTTATGAAGCACTTACCTTACAATAAACAATGCAAATGTGTGACACAATATACACCCACTCATCCCTGTATCTATTGCACCTGCTGTGACTTTGTTAAAGGCTGTAAACAAGAAATAGTTCAGATAAAAATTTGTTCTTGTTAGTTACTTGATCACAGTCTGAAGTCAGAAGTGGAGCGTGATGGTCGTTATGTCTGCTATTAAACAATAAAACATGAATAAGACAAGTAAAATTCATTACGTAGCCTGTTTATTAGGTACACCTGCTCAACTGCTCGTTGACACGTTTTTGACAAAGTGTCGTTCAAATAGTACCAATGCAAGCCTAGAAATCTAGATGAGCCGTGACAGTTGCAAATACGTTCCCATTTGCTCTACAGGTTGGTCTCGCCATGCTACACTGTAGCTTCAGCACATCTACCATTGGCCAGAACAGTTTTGATTCCTACCAATCACAGCAATCTAAGTTTATTGGGCGGATTTAACACTACAGCTGCAATGGAAAAAACATGAACCACGAAGACTGTGATGGCACAGGAATGGCCGTCTTCTGAAATGGCTTTGTCATCCACTTCAATGATTTAGACATGAGCCAGTCTGTGAGACATGAGCAGATAGAGGCACTTAAGTCACTTATTTAAAAAAAATGTACTTATACTTTAAACTTTATTGTTATTGTTTTTTGGATGCTTTTTAATTCTGACCAAACACGGAGACAGAAGTGAAAGAGAAAGGAAGGGACAAAAGGAAGAGGTGGGGGTGGGGTTTCCACAAAAATAAACAATCAATGATGAACAAGAGTCTGCTTCTAGACCTGCAGAATGAGAAGAACAACTAAAAAAAGGGGGACACACAACAATACAACAAGACCAAGCTATCACTGCATCAACCTAATGAGGAAATATAAATTCAACATTGTTTTGCTGAACAATCACACGATAATAAATCACAGTGCAGTTGGTGCCAGCCACAGCCTTAAGACATGTGTTGAAAATGGCCAAGTCCATGCATATGAGAGCACCATTTGAGCACCTGTGTGCGTACACACGCTTGTATATGTAACGTTTCTCTATAGGAGCGTCCAATAGAGAGTGTGAGGGGCCACGGATCTGCCCCCAAAGGTGTGTAGAAGACAAAGGGAGCTCCAAGCCCCAGAGATCCATGGGCTGCCCCAGAGAGCATAGACCCCAGGGAGACTGTAACTAGAAAAGCCCCAGCCCCCTCTCGAGAGGCGCAGAGGATTGCCCCAGGGGACCAAAATTAGCAGCTGGCAGAGTCCCGGGAGATAACAGCGGCAAGCCCACAGGCCCACCTGCAGCCTCCCACCCCCAAGCCGACCGAGCCCGGAGCCCAATGACCCGGGACCTAGGTGCAACCAGCCCCGCCGAGTACCCATCAGAGTGCAGAGACAGTTTGAAAGACAACCATAGATTCCATCCCAAGGTAGTTTTAATGGATCATAGCCAGACTGTATATACATACATAAATTTTCAGCTAACGGATGATCAAACCCAAAAAAAAAAAAACCCACAATGGAGAAGGAAAGGGATTCCTTGGAACAAAGGATGGTTCTTGGTGGCTGACATGCACAACCAAATGCCGATCCCGACCCACAGCACACCCACCAGCCTTATAACACACCAGCCATTCTGAGATTATCGTGAATTCAGATGGCTAGTCCACCTCTGAACTGGTGTCTAGAACATGACAATAGGCGTCTTTCCTCTGTTGAAACATTACGGTAATTTTACCGGAACTTCCCGGCATGCACATGTCTCCACTTCAGTGGGCAAGGCAAATGGGTTGTTTTCGGGTCATTGTTTGGAGTACCTGAATAGGGGTAGGTACTCGATAAAACCCGGTGGAGTAACTGAACGGATTTTTGCTTAACTCACGCTTATTGGTAGGAAATTTGTAGGAAATGACATCTTCAGATGCTGTCCAAAATACCCGGCGTTAGTAAGAGTTGCTCATAAAGCAGAATGGAAGTGAAAAATAAGGCACCATTGGGCTGCTTTAAAATTATTAACGCCAAAAAAACCCTGTGTAATCCCCCCACAGCAATGCCATTCACAAGGCTTTGTTATCTCACAGAGCGCCATGAAAAACTAAGCTTCTTCTGATCATTGAACGCCACATTTTACATCACGCAGCTGCTCTCGTCCTTCAGATGGGTTAAATTTCATTGTACTTTAACAGAATAAAACATTTAATGATATATTATTATTGTGGATGTTTTTTGGCACTTATTGGTGACATTACTCACCACCAAAGCAGCAAAGCTGATGTCTGTGCAAAGTCCTGAAAGAGCTGAATTTGAATGGAGACACAACAGCTGAGAGGGCCGGGTCTTCCTATCTACCGGTCAATTCCCCCTCCCAGAATTTATCCTGAAGTTCAGACAATGGAAACATGCCTAATGAGTTCATTGGATTTCAATGGCCTCCACAGTCACCAGATCTCAATCAAATTCTGAACCTTTGAGACGTTGTGAAACAGCAGATTCACATTATAGATGGAACTGTGTAATGTCATGTCTGTCCTGCTGCCTCCTTCACAACCCTCGACATCCTCCCCCGGAGGATCCCACACTCACTCAGCCCAACCGGACGCCACTACCCAGCATTCCCAGCGCCAGCCTTCATGCCCACGTCACCCGCCACATCTACATAAGGAAGTACAGCTCAACACCAAACCACTCAGTCATCATTCTAACCGAACTATGCTCCGAGTTCTGACCAAACCCAAGCCGATCATTCAGCCAGTTCTGACCAGATCAGCCCGAGCCACTCACCCTGCCGACTCACAGTAAGTCAGCTTGTTTCCTTTTGGAGCCGCCGTGCTCACCAGCTTTGTACGGTTTGACTCCTAGAGCAAACGCGTGTCAATCTGCCCGGTGTCAGTCACTCCGCGCTTGGGTCAAAACACACGCTACAATCCGAACTCTCGGTCCGGTTCAGCTCAGCTCGAGTCAAGCCTTTCAATGTCAGCATGGGCCAGAACTTCTGAGCAAGGTTTACAACCCCGTGTTACGTCAATGGCAGAAAGAACTGAAACAATTCTTAAAACAAAAGGGGTTCAAACTCAGTACTTGTAAGATATATCTAATTAAGTAATTAGTGATTGTACGACATTAGTCATTGTAGAGCCCTGTGCAACATTTTAAAACCAGTCCTAATATCTGAACACCTTTCTTTCAAAATACCAGACTCTTGCTGTCTTTAAAGTGGTTTAATCAATAGCGTTTCCTGAGTTGTCAGTTTTTTTTTTCAATTACTTTTAGTCAATTCTCACAGATCAGAAAACAGTGAACAGTGGACACTCAGATTTAGATGTAGGAGAGAATACCGTGTTCAAGAGCAAAACATCATTACACAACGTCTGGGAGTTCAAACACCTGAGTGGAGCAGAATCTTAAGAAGGTTGTTGTCTCGTGCAACAGAGAGAAGAAAAATAGAGAACAATAACTGTATCTAAATTTGGATAATGAGTATTCGATGACCTGCATAGTAGAATGATTCATGGTTATGAGAGGCCATTTGGGCACCAGTTCAGATACTCCAGCTGAGCTCAGATGCCCGAGAAAAATACAAGTAAAAACCTGTAACACAGAGCTGCAACACTCTTCCTTCATAGATAACATTCAGATGTGTATGTGATGCAGAAATCCAGCTGGGAAAGGATAATCACACACATCTTTTATTTTTCCAGTAATTAAGGATTTTCACCCATGATGCATTTCTAACAAACACTAATTATAAGGTTTGCAATAATCATGACCTTAATTTTGATCACCTTATGGTTTATGCTGTTAAATTGTGAGTTTAAAGAGTAACTAACCCCCAGATTAACTTTTTTTGCTTATAAACTGTATAATATGGTCTTTACAAATGCGATCTTTCTATTTCTGTGCATTTTTTGACATGTTTATGTAAACTTGATTAAATGGTAAATGGCCTGTATTTGATATAGCGCCTTCTAGAATCCTGGAACCCCCCAAGGTGCTTTACAACACAATCAGTCATTCACCCATTCACACACTGGTGGGGATGAGCTACGATGTAGCTACAGCTGCCCTGGAGCGCACTGCTGCCGAGCACTGGCGCCACCGGTCCCTCTGACCACCACCAGCAGGCAGATTAAATCTACAATCTAAGTGTAAAAACGTTTTAGCGCTGCCCCGTGTGGGTTGTACTGTGGCTACTGCATTTTAAATGTGTAATTGACTGGGATTGGTACAATTTCATGTCATCCGTACAGTCTCCTCCCACTCGCCCTCCCTCCCGGGATGGAAATTCTCCGCCCTTGGCCATGCTCCTCCGTGCCTCCTGGCAATGCCCCCTTTCATAGCATTTTTCAAATCTTGACTAGAGGTGGAATAATCTTTTCTGATGGTGTGCAGTCACTCTTTTGGGTGTTGTATTTATGTATTTTACATTTTTGTACAAATAACCATTTAGTGTGACTCTATGTATTAAAGCAATCCCTACTATAATAAAAAAAATGACATTACATAAGAAATGATTTTATGCTACTGCCTGAAGCTGTGAATTTCAGCTTTAGGACTGAAGATGAGCCACAGTAACAGCGCTGTTCCTACTACAAGCTCATCTATTAAATCTAATGTCAGTGACTGTAGAAAATAGTAGGAGAAAATGCTGTTTTCCACCACAGACAATCTTGATTTATGTGAAGGAAGGGGCAGCAAATATGCTAAGCACCGTGGAAATGAACATCAGATCCAGATTATTTTTCTGAAATGGAATCAACAACAGCTGGAGACACTGCACTGTAAAGATGTGAGTTCTATGACATCCTACTGCAGGTTTATGCAGAATACACTCTACACC